GTACTATCTTCGGTCCCAAGCTAGTCGAATCACCCCTCGAAACAAAGGAAAATCCAATAACCCCTCATTTTATCTGTCAAACTTTCATAGCGAATCAAAACAAACATTGTGTAGTACTAGAATTTTGACTAGAATGGGATACGTTAATCGATTTGCTTGGGACCAATAGGCTAGTCAAGCAGTGAGCCAATTTAAAATCGTTAGTTTCGTATTGATTGTTGGTACGACTGTAATTGCCATAAAATTATACTAATGCGAAAACGGTAGAGGCATCGATAGCTCTCTATTAATAACTGTAAAAGTGCATCTGGAACACTGTTGAGAGCACACAATAAGCTAATATGTATGCTATAAGAAATAAGCTTGAAATGCGAAAAAGAAGATAAAGATATACTTAACAGTTTGGTTTCTTATCTTTGAATTACCTCAACAATTTTGTTTCAAGGGAAATTAGAGGTTAGGACTTGATTATTTAATTTTCAACATTCTGCCATTTCTGAGACTGGAACTTATGAGGTTTTAGACTTGCAAATTTGTCGATACGCTGGACTTAGAAAAAAAGAAGCAATGAGATGGAGAAACATGCATGATTCTGAGGCCCCACCAGAAACATCAATAATTTCCGACATTTCCCGAAGTTCAGGATTTTGAAATGTTTGCAGCTTTGAAATTTTAAGGAATCTGATATTTTTGAAATATGTGTTAGTAGGGTTAACTACCCCATTTCCGGCCTATTAAGCACAACCCGCACTTACTCTTTCTTAATCTAGCGCAGTTACTGATGGCTTCTAAATTTATTTACCTTTCCGTACGTACCGTAAGATTTGAAAAAGAGAAACCAATCGTTGAGATATTGTCAAAAGTCTAACACTGCTTCTTGACGCCAAACTCGGCCTACGGATTCAAAACTCGGCCTAACGCATTGAAACGCCATTGAAACGCCAATGAATTCACTTCGGCCTATCGGATGAAGATAAAAATTGATTCGGTTGGAGCGCTTCTTTTGTTTTTGGGAATAATGGGTGCAAACCTTCATATCACACGAGACGTAATTCAGCTTTGACGTAAATCATGGAACGTAAACAAACATGGCATGTAAAATTAAGTGTCCTGAAACCGAAAAACATGCAACTCGACGAAAAGTGCGTTTGATTGAATTGATTTTCTTGTCCTTTTCAACTTATTCTTATGTCAAAAGAGCCGCTTGCATGAGTCGGTCTCAGGGCACTGAAATATACATGTGTTTTTCGTAGTGTGTGGATCTAAGATTGGGCCCATCGCTAAAGATATACTACACACTTAGAAAAACTGATGTAAATTTAGGTGCTCTGAGGCTGACATATACGAGCGTCAATTTTGACATAAAATTGAATCATAATAGACGTGAAATTCAGCTCAATCAAATGTATTTTCGAACTTTTCAATCTCGGAGCACTTAATTTTACATGACTTGTTTGTTTACGTCTCATCCTTTATGTCAAAGGTGGATTCTCTCACGTGTAAGATTAGGTATTTCTAAGTGTGTATTTATGAATTTTATCTAGATGAACGCGTCATTGGGACGGTTCTAATGGATATTTTTGGTCGCTATTGAAAATTTAGTCGATTGCTGAGTTTGTGTATGGGCCCAAATTACGGGCATTTCCATTTCCCCTACCACCGCAGTCACGCTTTCCATTAACCATCGGTGCCGTCAAAACCTGGTACATGATTTTAATTTAATTTGGAAAGGGGTGTAATTTCAAAAGATTGACAAGGGCGCAGTAAGCTCTGACCACGCCACTGGTTTTTAAATCTCTCGTGGAAGATTCTTTAGGTATGAAAACATTTCTTGACTTCTGCTTTTAAAAAATGCAAACAAAAGGCACTAGATGGTCCCGATGCGGGATTTGGAGAGTCTTCTAAGTTTTGCAACTGTTCCAAAAGAAGCACATAATTCCCCAAAATTTCGATAATGTTTCACACCAGTGGCGCAGCTAGGATTACTGTCTGGGTATTTTTGTAGAAATGACGTTCTTAAAAAATATTTTTTAAATTAATTTATACCTTTCTCGGGAAATTAACTCTGTGCAACAAATTATAATAAATTTCCAGTGGAAGTTGATGGATTTTTTTTGATAGGTTGAAAAGGACTTACAGAGTAGTCAGATAAAACTTCTGGAGAAAATTGGTAGAAACTTCTAGAGAAAACTGACCGACTCTGTCGGGAGATAAACATCCAGGACGGAAGAAATTTCCGGGCAAGTCGGAAGAAACTTTCAGAGAACGTTTAGAAAAATTTCCAGAGGAAGTTGGCAGACACTTCCAGGGAATGTCAGCATGGCTTCTGGGAGAACTCGGGAAGGTCGATGAGAAATCGTAAGAATCATCCGGTGAAATAAACTTCCAGAAGAAGTTGCAGGAATATTCCGGTGGAAGACAAAAGAAGTTTCCAAAGGGTGTCGTTAATAACATCCTCATAAAACTGGAGCATACTTCCATGGAAAGATGGAAGAATGTTGCTGGGAAAGTTTAGATAAAGGTCAGAATAAGATTCCGGGAGTAGTAGTACAGAAAAAAAACATTCAGGATAAGTTGGAAGAATCTTCCGGAAGAAGGTAAAACTGAAAATCTGGGGAGTCTGAAGAATCTGTACACGCAAACCAAAAATCTATTACAATGAATGTTAGTTCCGTTTCCTATCATCCTCTGTTCATGAACATCGCAACGAATGTTAGAAATTGACCATGCGGGCGATTTAATGGTTTTTTGTCTTTTTTATTTCGTGTTCTATCTACGCTTTCGACTATACCAGTAAGCTTGTAGAACGACGCATATTGTAGAACTTTATAGAACGACGCACACACTTGCCTCGAATCTCTCCAGCAGAAAAAGCATACGAAGTCGAGTATTCGAGAAAATGAGCGCTTTGTTTGCTTTTGGGCTATCCATTTTCAGAAGCATGGGGAGAGCAGTGGAGAAAGCACAGGTCTGATAATCGCAACGTTCGTGGTTCGAGTACAGTCGGCAATCTGTTTTCTATTTTTTTCAACATAACTAACTTACCTCACTAATACACTCTGCATTTTTCGGTCTCCAATTTTCTTGCATTAGACCGCAGCTAGGTATATCGCATCCCCGGTTCATGCGGTCTCCACTAACATCCTCTGATGATGAATCCCACATAATTGTAAGCGAATCTTACATCCCCCGGTTGGGTGAAATTTATCATGATTTACATCTTAAGCATGAAATTTTCGTCGAGAGATGTTGTTCATGCAGTACAATTGAAAGAAAAGTAGTTCATAGTACAAATCGCTAAAATGGATCCACATTTTATATTAAAAATCAAATTTATATTAGCCTCAATCAGACCACTCTCGAAGTGTGTCACGCGATCGTCTGTTCTCCTCATTGTTCTTCATCAGCAGTTCTTTCGGTCGATGCGTCGTCGACTTTGGAAAGCAACCGTTTCATGATGAGTGTGTGATGGATGTCCACGTTTTGCGTCCTTTGCTACAATGGAAGCGCTCTGCCCCCGGTTGGCGTTACTGTCATACAATCGTTGGTTGGTTGGTTGTCTTTATTATGGAGATTTTCAGCCAGACGCTGGTTCATCTCCGATACTGTCATAGAATGAAAGCGGCTCCCGTTCTGATGGAGGAGACTTATTGGATATCGGAAGATAAAGTGTTTATTGTGTTGTACCTTTTGACTATAATTTTAAGATGTATTGTATAGTGAACAAGAATTCTCATCTGTAAAGTTAATTCGCTTGACACTAATCAAATAAATTAATAAACAACAATATATTAGCCTCAAGGCTTAAACCTACTCAAGCCCGCTAATTCACCTTTTTGCAATATAAGGCTGATACACGGCTAACAAAGGACATACTAAGCTTTATATTAGCCGCATTAGGCGGGCTTGTTGGTTACTTGGGTAATGGGTATCCCCCCTCGCTAAGCCCTCTTTGTTAGGCTTTCGGAGTTATTCCAGAACTAAGACAAGACAGGACATCTGATTCTTTTTATTCTTCGAAGGTTCTTCATTCGCTCAATGAAAACATAATCCGTGCAATACAAACATTTCTGGAAGTAATTTTATACACATTTAAAACTAAAAATAACAATCTTAAACTTTACAAACCAATTAGCGACTGGATCAAAATCTGAATCCAAATCTATACTCTAGTTGTTTCCTCCTCATTTCACAGTTCTCATGGTGTGAAACAGTGTTTGAATTAAGGTAATCTGCAATCATGCATACTAACATATAAACATATTCAAATGGTTTGTTAATTTTTGTCTCGATTCTCTATAAAATCATTGGTGAGACATTGGTTTTACCCGTGTATTTTTATGTGTAGGACATTTCTTACCTGTCCCACCCACTTCCAGTGCCTCTGATAAGCATTACACGGAACCGAAAAATTATCCAAAATTAAGTTCTTTTCACTCATCTCCCATGTTCCGTTCAATATGCTAATTTTCAGTAAACCGCTTATAGTAGTTTACATTTGACTACGGCAAAAATCATTACTTACTCGTGAGTATTTTCTACCCAAAATAAAGTTCAATTGACTACTCACTAATAGCTTATTGAACGATAGTCATGAGAAAGTCGAATCTCTCGTTCCGTTTTTGAAAACAACAAAAAGTGAGAGTGGGATGCAAACTCAAAATTACCTAAAATTAAGTAAAAAAAACTTAAATTTAGGGTACTTGTTTTTCTCTGTGTACGTTTACGAAAATCATACTTGTTTTCATAAATTTAATCACAGAATGTATTACACGCCCTTTTCAAACATTCCGTTACATCCCATTCATTGATTGGTTTCCGAAAGATTAGAAACAATGATTCTCCAGTGGAATTGTTGCTAATCGAGATATACTGATTATGCTTTTCGACAATAGTGACATGCCACAATCTAAATCCTGCCAAGATAACACCTTTAGTGGCGACGCTTTAAAAAGCCTAACGTAAGCTGAAAGACATTATTAGTTTGCGCTAGCTAGTTGTTCCAACATGAATTCCCTGGTGGTCTTGGCTCTTTTGGTGGCAATTGCCTCGGCTTCCGTCGTGCCTGAACGAGAACAACGTGTTGTTGGAAGTTCACCTGCCGAACTGGGCCAGTTTCCCTATGCCGTCGGATTGATCACCAGAATCAACATCCTGCTTTCGAATCAGTGTGCAGGATCTCTGCTTTCTTCGCGATTCATTCTGACTTCGGCCAGCTGTGTCAATGGGTAAGCTTAAAAGATGAACTTTTACATGATGTGGAACAGTTTCTAATGTTTCTGGTTTAGAATTCAGAGTGCCGTTGCTGTCATGGGTGGACTTCACCTGAACGATCCTATCGAGCCTGGACAGGTCCGCTTGACCGTGACGCAGTTCATCGTTCACAATGGCTTTTCGGAAGGAACGGATGACTTCGACGTTGCTTTGGCTGTCCTTCCCGTGCCGGTGAGCTTTACCAACAACATCCGGCCCGTACGTCTACCGAACCGCCGTCAGGTAGATGCTGCCTTCAATGGTCAACAAGGCACATTTATGGGCTGGGGAAGATTTGGTTCGGGAAATACCAATTCTCTTGTGCTACGATTTGGTCGCTCGACAATCATGACCAATACAGCTTGCCGGCTGAACCTACCGACGAATACTGTCCTGGATGATAACATTTGCACTGAAGGCTTCAACGAACAAACTGGACAAGGCTCGCCATGCGCCGGAGAGACCGGAGCTCCTTTGACCATCGTCGATGCCGATGGAATAACCACTCAGGTCGGTGTGTTCTCGTTCAACTCCGTACTGGGATGTGAAAGCGGGCGAGCTGCAGTCTACACTCGCATGTCTGCATACCTGAATTGGATCGGCGAGAACTCGGATGTCGTGATCAGGGATGGTTTCTAGATTTGTAGTTAACTATTTTAGATATATGTAGAATCAGTCGAAATAAATCACTATCTCAAAGCTTATCGCAACTAAGGGGCTGTTCATTAATTACGTAGACAGTTTAGTGAGCGGGGGGAAGGGGATGGCATTTATACACGGCCCATACAAATCTTTAATAATTGTGTATGAACAATTGTCTACGCATGAGGGGGGGGGGCAAGAATCCCAAACAACTGTCTACGTAGTTAATGAACAGCCCCTAAGCAGTACACTTGAATTTCGATAATCGGACTGGTTGATAGGGTTGAAGGACACACCAAAACGGTGATAACTGGGTAATTATAAAACTGAATTTCACGCTTTATGACTTGCTCCTGGGTATTGCGGTTATCGTCTGAGGCTCATGTTCCCGTGTTGATCGTTGTTCTTACAGGTGTTTAAACGTGTATGGCAGGTTGTTGCGATGCGTCTTTTTATCATCGATCTTCGCGCTAAAGTGCCTGTAATGAAAGCGACATCATCTCATCATCTCACCTATTGTCGGTGACGGCACCGTCGAAAAATTTGCTCTTCCAGCAAATATAGACAGTTTCTTATGGGAATTTTCGGTGGATTGAAAGGATAGTACAAAGTCCGCCATGTTTCACGCACAGTCTGACGTTTGCTTATGGATGGAGAGCTACAAAGTCGCCATCAACGCCAATTTGACAGGTTATCTTCTCGATTGAAATAACGTTTTCCAAGCCGTTGCACAATGAGAAATTTGTTTAAATAAAAAGGCATTTAATTCAATATCTCAAAACGCCGCTAGATATGATGGGATATTTATACATCAAAAGTTGGCTTTTTTGACTAGAAAGCGAATGCCCAGGTGGTTGTGGATCATTTTTGGGTATTTGAGGCAAAAATAAGTGTTATAGTCGATTACTAAGTGAAATGTCCATTGATTTTAATAAAACCAGTTTCATTTCAAATTTAAGATTGTCCATCATAATCGTATGTATCAAATTGAAAATTATATTATAATAATTGAATCATAAATATTAGCCATGAAATATGATAAGACAGGGGTCTTCGAGGACGAAACCCACTAAAATCCCAACTTCACTATTTTTACCAAAATTAAACTTTATTCATTCGATTCCTCGGGGTTTTTCGTTTAGAAATTATATGATTAGCAGTGTGCATCCCAAATCCCAACCAAAAATGTACTATTTTCACATATTTTTATTGTTTTTACCGAAAATGGTACTGTTGAACCTTAAGAATGGTAAGTCCTACTTTCAATTTGATACATACGATTATGTAGGACAAGCTTAGATTTGAAATGAATCTGGTTTTATTAAAATCGATTTACATTTTACATAGTAATCGACTATACCACAATTTTAGGCACTGAAAAATAGGGTTAACATTCTTATTTTTGCCTCTAACTACCCGAAAGTGATTCGTGCCGTGCACATTTAGAAATAACTAATTTTACACGTGACAGAATCCATCTTTCACATAAAGGATCAGACATGAACAAATAAATATTTCATGTAAAATTAAGTGCTCCGAGACTGAAAAGTTCGTTACTCGACGAAAAGTGCGTTTGATTTAGTTGAATTTCGCGGAAAATATTTTTCCTAGTAACAAACACGCGTACAAAATTTATGAGTTGGTTCGTGTCTTATCAAATTCGGACAAATTATTTTTATCTAGATAAATTTTTTTATGGTTCTTACAGATGGTATCGGCCGTTATGGATTCTCGATCTAGAGTTAAGTTTAAGTTTCATGTCGGTTTGTCGGTGTTGTCACTCTCTCTTCACTGCAGAGTCTACAGGCACGTTGTTTTCTCTCGCATTGACAGTTGTAACAAATATAAATACGAGCAAGCAAACGTTGTTCCGTACGCAACGGCATCGCTATTTTTCCTGTATAGATTATTAGCTCTATTATCTAACCATTAGTTGTTTTGTGGACGCCACGGTATGTTGTAGCTAGTTTTTCATGACACGTATCATTTTTCATGTCGTACAACATATTTCATGCCGTGCAACAGTTTCCTCATCGCACAACATTTTTCACACGATTTAGAGTTTTCAACTTCAACCATTTCGAAGTCTGTGATCTGTGGTCGTCACTTCGGCATCCGGTTGTCTAGGTGGGTTACACACAGAGATTGGGCTTTTATTAAACTTAATTAATTAGTTGTGATTTTATCATACCTATTGGGAGGAATTCTAGTAATTCGTTCAGGGTTTTAATGACTTATGATTTAAATGTTATTTGTAAAAACAGGACTTGAATGTCTAAGGCATACTTATTTTATTCGATCAAGTTTAAATTAAAAAAAAATATCATTAAAAGTTATCCGGAATCACAATATCCGAATTGTTCTCGATCCAATCGAGATACGAAGACATGCGAGTAAACACGCTAGCCCTACCACTGTCGCATCCCAAGATCGAGTGGAACGAGAACACGCCAATCAGAGTGGTCAGGCCGTCGGCATCGGTAATGGTCAACGGGGCACCGCTGTCTCCCTGGCATGGTGCTCCCCTGTTGGCCACCTCGTCAAACCCTTCCGTGCAGATGTGTTCGTCCAGGATCGGGTTCGTTGGCAAACTCAAACGGCACGAAAGGTTCGTCATGACTTGCGAGCGGCCGAAGCGCAGAACATGGGAGTTGCTGGTTCCCTCACCGAACCGTCCCCATCCCATGAAGGTACCTTGCTGGCCGTTAAAGGTCGATTCTACTTGACGACGGTTTGGCAAACGGACCGGGCGAATAGTTTCCGTAAAAGAAATTGGAATTGGCAATACGGCAAACGCAACATCAAAGTCATCCGTTCCCTCGATGTAGCCGTTGTGGACGATGAACTGGGTAACAGTCGAGCGGACTTGACCTGGTTCAGATGGATCCTCTAGAAGAATTCCCCCCATAACGGCAACGGCGCTCTGGATTCTGTAACGAGGTCATCTTACATATTCAACTTAACCACACAAATTTTACAACTTACCCATTGACACAGCTAGCCGAGGTCAGAATATATCTGTTCGACAGCAGGGATCCAGCACATTGACCGGAGAGGAGCACGTTAATTCGAGTGATCAATCCCACTGCATACGGGAACTGTCCGGTTGCAGCAATTGATCCACCAATAACACGCTGCTCGCGATTCGGGATTACCGATGCTGAGGCAACTGCCACCAGTAGAAGAGCTGTGAGCGCCAAGGAGTTCATGTTGATAGACTGGTTACTTGAGACGTACTGAACGAGGCAGTAAGATTAGATCGAGCTATTTAAAGGGGTGACTGGTGATACGCTTATCAGCATTCTGCTTGGAATTTGCAAAAATTAATGTATGATAAAGCAGAGTCAATTTAGTTAACATCCGAACAGGTGTTGCTTTTCAAACACGCGACCAACGTTTTTTCCATCTGTTGTGCATGACCTATTAGGACGTTGGCAAGAGAGGGCAAGAGCAGCAAAACAAGAAAGTTTAATCGTGAATGTGATAGGAATCTAAAGTGGTAACTCCATAAAAATATAGGTGGATAATGGTTTCAATTGATCAATTGATGATATTGGTAAATAATTATTTTTCCAATTAGTTTATTTATTAAGGATCAACTGTCCAAAAGGACTCCACGGAACCGAGATCTGATGACAGTTCAGTGGTACTGTTTACGTGGACTTAGTCAATTTTTTCTTGGGTAGATTTTCTCGATAATTTTTCAGACTGCAGTGAGATGTAAACCACACTTCTGCAATGTCCACGAGCAACATCCTTTCACCGCGCATTTTCAAAATTTTCCGAAAATTTTCAAGTTGAAATTAGGATTCAGCCGATTAATACCCCGTTAACATAACAGCGTACATCACGTGATATACGCTGTCTTGTAATGAGCACCAGGGTTGCCAAAACGAAATATGTGTTTTTGTTCAAAAAATTATTTATAATGAGAGAGAGAAGGTCAGTCGAGTATTAGTTCAAGACACTGAAGAAGTCTGCACATTGTAGACGAAATACGCGTATCTGTCAAGGATAAGCAAATAAGGTAGTGGAATTAAATGGAAATTACTAATCCTTCTCTCTCTCATTATACAGGTATTCCACTAAGACGCCCACATTCATCAGGATTCTTTTAATCTTAGTTTTTGTCCAGAAAATCTATGATGATATCTGTGTTGATAATTCATTATTTGAATCCACACAAAACAGATAAAAATATATGTATCATGTATGTTACGGATTGGTAAAAAAGAATATACCTCTGTCAGTTTTCATTCTCCTTTTCTAACCACAAAAAAGCATGTATAGATATAAAAGTTGGTGATGATAAAATTTCACTGAAGTGAAAAAATGTTTTGTTTTTAAACATCTCAAGTTTCATTTAAAAAAAAAAGTTTGACTATATTTTAAAAATCTGTGTAATCTGTTTAAATCCTAAAAAATCTGTAATCTGTGAATACAGAATCTTGGTTACAAAAACTCTGAAAAATCTGTAGAAGTACAGATTTATCTGTAGTTTTGGTAACCCTGATGAGCACTCATACATCTAGATAGAGCTGGAATTAGGGCGAAACAGCTTTTGTAAACAGTGTATTATCTCCAGGATTTCTAGGAAGTCAAGACCCGCCTACGTAAATCAACAGCACCATCGGGTAGGGCTTCCATTACCCGATGGTTATGTTGGTTTGCATGGGTGTGCCTTGAAGTCCCAGAAATCATTGAGAGAAGTCATTGTTTACATCTAGTATTCATTGGAAATCCTATGAATGAGTGCTCATTGCAAGACAGCCTATATTACGTGATATAGGCTGTAATGTGAATGGGGTATAACATTGAGTTCATTTGTGACGCCACGCTGCAGAACCTAATTGATAGATATACAGTAAAGCCATAGAGGTTACTCTAAGACTAGTAGGTCCCGAAGAAACGTGCTCAACTTTTTGGCTCAGCTCTAGTATTATATTCGGTCCCAAGCTAATCGATGCACCCCTCGAAACATTGGAAAATCCACGAGCCCCTCATTTTATCTGTCAAACTTTCATAGCGAATCAAAACAAACATTGTGTAGAACTATAATTTTGACTAGAATGGGGTACGGTAATCGTTTGCTTGGGACCAATAGGCTAGTCAAGTAGTGAGCCAATTTAAAATCGTTAGTTTCGTATTGATTGTTGGTAAAGCTCTCTAGTTAAAGTATGGACCACAAAACTGAAAAAAGCTGTTCCAATCGAGCAAAGCGTTGCATTTTGACGGTTAGATTGGAACAACTTTTCGCAGACGTCCATACTTATGCTGTAGGGCTTTAATACACAGTAGTGGTGGTGGCCTTTAAATTAGCATAATAGACCGATTTTCATACAAACCAGCCAACTTTGGCATGTTGCAACTACACACTTAGATTTTTTTGCCGAGATGGGCACCATGAGCAGCTCGGCATTTTATTTTGCTGGAAATTCAGCAAAAAATATGTTTGTTAGCTGAGATCTCGGCAAAATTATCGTTTGTTAGCTAAATCTCAGCAAGTTTTTCACTGAGAACCAGCAATATAAAATGCCGAGCTGCTCGGTGGTGCCCATCTCGGCGAAAAAATCTAAGTGTGTGTGTTTTGTTATGATCAACTGAGCTGAAATTTTGACACAGAACTACAAATATGCTATATTTTTCGTGTACGTAATATCAAATTATTGGAAGCGCTTGCCGGAAATTTACGGGCTGGTTGAAAATGGCCAACTAATTGGCACCTTTATAAAAACTGATAGTTGATGCTATTGATGAATTTAAGCAAAAGTAAAACTGGCCATGCGACACCTAGTTTTCAGATTTGCAATTACAAAACTGAAAAAAATATTCCATGCGATTTGGCAAGTAGCAAAACATCATTATCATTTTCCCTAGCATTTTTCACATCATTTCAGCGATGCCAGATATACAGATATGTCTTTATTTATACAGATATTTGAAGTTTCGTACAGACCCAATACAGACTACAGACATTATACAGGTATTTGAAAATTAATACAGATTTTGTACAGATTTTTACCAATTGGTTCCTGAAATTTAACATAAAATAAAATTATTTTCGAAATTTGAACAGCTTCAAGCAATTATGGACTTGAAACCATTGAAAATGCTTCACCCGGCTGCCTCCAGCGTGTGTCATTAGAGCAGGTGGTGAAACGGATGCTAGAAAGACGTCCTGCTCTCAGAGTATACTTAAATTATACTAATTCGAATGTGGACTTGATGCCGAGAAGATGAAAGAAATCAGCGGTATCTTGGAGAACCCCATGACGGAGCTTTGCTTGAGGTTTTTGGAATTTGTTCTACCAAAAGTTAACAAACTTTTATTCCGACTCAAATCTGAGCTAGTTCGTTTGCTCAAAGAAATCCTCGATAATTTCATGAGACCAGACTACATTGCGAAGCTTGAAGACCTGGGTTCGTTAATTTTGCAACCCAGAAACTACTATGGAAAAGGTTTATATGGGTACTGGGGTACAAAAACATTTGGATGATGTTTTGTCATCCAATAGCATCAAGCTTGAGGATGTTCATCACTTCAGAACAATCGCGATGAACTGCTACATAACGCAAATCAAATCGGGAAACGTATCAATATGGATGATATGCTTCTCGTAAACCATTGCCAGGTTTTTGAGGTAGGGCATTGACCCAAAAAATCTCAAAAATAAAACGCACCCCTCAATGTACGCAGTTTTGCGGTTTCAACGAATTCGAAATGCAAATGGTAGACGACGAATTCCGCGAGATGAGAGATACTAATTTTGATGATGCTGTTGAATTTTGGGGAGTGGTACTGGCCACCAAACGGGTGAATGGCTCGCTTTTCCTTATCTCAGACGAATTGTGCCAACCCTATTTGCATTGCCACACTCCTCAGCGGCAGTAGAAAGGATGTTTTCGTCGATCACTGAAATCATAAAAACAGCTTTTCGACTATTTTATTATATTTTTGAGACTAAATAATAAAATGTGTTCGACGGTAAGTTCTGATCATTTCTCATTTATTTTTATTTGAAATAATAGATTTTCCCTTCTTCTAGCCTTACCCACATGCCTATGTTTCTTTTTTACGTTGTTACTTAATTCCGATGGTTCGGTACATGAACCTTGAACGGGATTTTATTTTTTTTAATCGCGTGATTTTAAACAACAAATTGCTTTTTAAGTTTTGACTTCGTATTTTTTGTATTAAGAATACAAATTTCAAAAACCGCAAAAACGCACTTTATTAAGTTTAAAAATGCTTATTTGTTTAGTTTAGTGTGTAGCGAGTAATTTTATAGCCAAAATACATGCGGGAAATATGAAATCTGCAATGCAGTGATTTTTCTAGAGTACAGACAAATACAGACATATTTTTTGACACTCATACAGACTTTTGAAAAAATCGTCTGGCATCCCTGCATCATTTCCATCTGCTGGTCGACCGTCACTTAAATTCATCAATTGTCAGTCATTTTGCATACCAGAAAACCCCACACGCGACTTTCGTTCTGTACGACGGCACTATGTAAACGTACAGAACAAGCAACAAGAGTAACATCGATTGTCGCGTGTGTGGTTTTTCGGTTTTCAACGGTACCTATAATAGCTTTGCTAATCAAAGTTGGAGACCCTGGGGGCGACCCCGGCGTAGTGGTTAACATCCATACCTCTCACGCCAAAGTCACCAGTTCAAATCTCACCCCGGGACAAGTCAAGAATGACCCAAGAGTGTTAAAGTGATTATAATAATCAAAAAAGTTAGAGACATTTTCTAAAACCTTGATATCGTCGAAAACGTTTGTAACGTTGAATTGTTTGAAAATTAATGCTTTGATAATATCGTTACTGCCACAAATAGTGTCATAAATATTACAATATAATACACATTATTCCCGAAACTTAATTCCACGCTTGATAAACATGCAAGCAAACATGTGAAAACTCATTCACTAGTGCGAGCTCCAAAGAAACAAAGTAACCATTCTCGGTTGATCACAGATTATTGTGTGAGTTTAAATACTTCAAAGTAAGTAAATCTACTCACAGACTCGAGACTAAGAATTTTACCTACTGAGTGTAAACCCGATTGAAGCCGTAAAACCAACAATCAATACGAAACTAACGATTTTAAATTGGCTCACCACTTTAGTAGCCTATTGGTCCCAAGCAAACGATTAACGTACCCTATTCTAGTTGAAATTCTATTACTACACTATGTTTGTTTTGATTCGCTATGAAAGTTTGACAGATAACATCAGGGGTGTGTGGATTCATGCAGAACATGCAGGGGTGAGTGAAATAGCTTGGGACTGCTTGGGACCGTTGTTCTGGTACTGAGTGAGCCAAAAATAATAATGATTTTCTTCGGGACCCAGTGGTCTTAGAGTTACCTCTATGGTAAAACCGAAAGGGAGAATCAGTAAGTGAGCCGAATTTTACTCAGTGATTCACGATACATTCAGCTGTCAGTTTTGCTCGCTTGTTCGTTCAACGAAAACAAAAAAAAGGTGGATATGAATTGGGTTGCTTAGGGGTATTGAGGTAAATACATATTTGTAATCTCAATTAAAAATGGAACCGAAAATTACATCAATGTTGATGCACTGGAACTATTTTATATAAATGCGATTACATAAGTGAAAATCATCATTTTAGTACCCCTTGGTGGGACTCCAGGCGAGTAAGAGAGGTGCCACAGTCGGAAAAACTGTTAGTTTGTTTACTTAAATGAACCATGCCCATTTTGTTATGGCATGTTTGCTATAAGAAATGCTCCTCGTGTTTATTAGCGAATTTCACATCAAAGATTGATTAATTGAGTAGGAAATCAGTTTGGTACGGCATTTGTGACCAGCATACACCTTCCGGTCGTATGCAACAGGTCAAAAACTGTCCAAATCCGCAGATAAAAAAAAATTTGTTTTGAATTTCTGTATAGCAAAATAGTGAACTTTTCGTGAACATTAACGGCAAAGAACTCACCAACACTGGGAGACTGTGAGTTCCTGCCCATCTCGGGTGGGACTAAGGCATGGAAAATCATTTGCATTCATTTCGTGCATTCATTTACATTCATTTGCCTCTAACTTTTTTCTTCAACAGCATTCGCAAAATGATGTATAAAGCTTTTGTAGGTTTTGTTATTAGCTACAACTTTTGTTAACAACTCAAATCCGTATCTATTATGGATGACGAAAAAGTGCGAACAGAAACCACTACCACAGACAAACAGACGTAACTCTTTGAAAAAGTTTTTCTTGAAAACATAGTATCTCAAAACATAGGACCTCAGTAACGGCATATTTCAGGCTTCTCGCGGAAAACAAGCTTGCTCGCTAACTCGCAAACAATATTGCATAAAAGTTCTATAGAATGTATAGAAACGTCAAAGTGATCCGATGCCAGCGCTGCGGCGAGTAGTTCGCGGAACTGATAATATTCAAATCAACCGTTAAATGCGTGAACGAAGGTACACAATGAAGAGTTACGTCTGTTTGTCTGTGCCACTACTATTTTTCAGTGAATGAATTTTACATTCACTGAAAAACAGTAACAAGTTCTGCCCGCTCTAGTTCGTGATGCATAAGAGATACAGATTTGAGTTATGAGCAAAGCTAACTTGTAGCTAATAACAAAACCTACAAAAGCTCTATACATTATTTTACAGAAAGCTGTTGATGAAAAAAGTTAGAGGCAAATGAATGTAAATGAATGTATAAAATGAATGCAAATGATTTTCCATGCCTGGTGGGACTTTATATAAACTAATAGATTTAGTGTCAAAAATTAAAAACTCAAATCTTGATTTAAAAATTGAGATGAATGTTTATGGGAATGTCAAAAATATGCTGTGCTCAGAAAACGTAGCTCTTTTAGATGATGTATAAGAACTATAGATACTATAGATTCCATAGATAAGCGGAGAAAAAGTATAATGTAGCCAAACGAACTGTTAGTTAGTGTAGCCAAACGAGCATGACGTCATCATGGTATTGTTTGAGGGAGAAGTATTGTAATATAATGAGCACAAAACGCTTTCCACGCTCCACATTCCGATTTATTTCGCGGACAACGGAAGAAGGAAAGATAAAGCAAACCAGTCCTCGATACATTGTTGCAAAGATTTGCTTTGCACTTCATTTTGAACTTTTACGCACGAAACAAAACAAACCTGCACAATGAAGAGCTCTATGATGACATGAACTTTTTTCACGGATGCCAGTAAGATCATTTATTTTTCATGGTCGCCAAAACAACTTTTTGTGCGTTCGATTATCTATGGAATCTATAGTATCTATAATAAAAACCGGTATGTTTTTCGAAATTAAACAACCCGATTTTCATTAATATCTAAAAAATTATGCAAATTGCTTAAATTTAGACGATTTTTTTGCAAAACTGCTTGAATCTCATTACTATTTTTTGTTTTTTTTTCAACCACTTCGTACACATTGCAGTGAATAATATACCTTGTGCTTTAATATATCTACACAGAGCTGGAAAAAAGGCCTATCTACATTCCCTGTTGTATTTGACGATAGATAAGAACCTACTTTATAATGCTATGTGCACACTTAGAAATTAATGCCGATCTCGATTTAATTTTCTACCGAACCTCTTCGGCAACCAACGAGAAACCGAATAAATGGTTAAAAACATTTTTTTCAAGCGTATTTATCGAATCAGACCCGAATTTCGGTAAAATAGTATACATTAGACGAATAGAAATGAATATTGAACCGAAAAGTACGGTAAAGTATCGAATTTGCTACGTGAAAACCGAGAAACTCGGGAAAATGAACCGAATATTCGCTAAACGTTCCACTTGCGCTCAGCTTGGCGATGGAAATTTTAACCGAAACTCGGTTCTCAGAAGCCGAATCTGAGATTAGTTAGCCATTTTTTCTCGCGTGTGTTCGTCGGACGTGTGCAAAACTTTAGTAAAAATGGAAAAAAAGTTCTGCAGCTGCAACAGGTGGATGCACGTTTGATTGAAATCTTTTGTAAATATTTAAAACTAACGGTATGATTTTATTTGCAGGCATCTTGTGCTATAGTTTGTTTCTACTGCCGTGAAAATGTTCAAGGTAATGTCTCTGGCTTGTAAAGGCATTTTAAAAACCATTTGAATAAAAATGACTTCAAGGTCAGTGATATTTTTTTGACTGTAGTTTTTCACACTGTAACTCACGTTACGAAAGTTTTTATTCGCCAGAACAAATTAAATAAATATATTTCATACATTTCTTTGACAAAATTGGTTTAATTTTTATGAAAATTCGAAGTAACGTATCCCTAATTAAAATTTAAAGCAGGATTTTAAGTGAAACCTGAGCGCTGCCCAAGAGTACCGAATTCCGTAATTAATTATATGATTTGATTAGTAGCTATACTGAAGATCCGAGAGATTTCGCCCCTTCAGTGGTAGTGAAAATCATTTTTGCAGTATGGAGAATATCAGAAAATCCACGATTTGTGACTAAACATGCTTTCACAGAAGGAAACAAATAAAAGAGTGTGCACAATAGTAATGTACTGGTACAAATTTTGTGCATCTAATACTGCCCATAAAGACGATAATGAATAAAAACTGAAAATTTTCATGCATTTCCAAATGGTTTCCTACCATTCCCATACATTCGAAAGTGACTGGCCCTCTGGATGTGGATGATGTCAAAAACAACATCACATGATTAATTACAACAGGTGGGTCGGTTTCTAGGCGAGTAAGGCGAGTCATAAGTCATAAGGCGAGTCATTTCCCATCTCGACCTTGGTGCACCTTATGCGTCCCTTGTTTTATTACCGCCACTGTCATCGTGTCATTTGCACTCCGTTCCTTCACATTGCCGTTAACTCGCAGGCGTTCACTCATGAACCATGTGCATTTTATGTCAAATCGCTAACCTTTTCCGTTTATGCTGATCTCGCGGCTGTGTATGTGTTGGTAAGACTTCGCTTCTTTTTCGTTCGTTGCGTACAACTCCATCAGTCGTAGAGTGTCTTTTGTCCGGTTTGGTTCGACGACGGAGTTGCGGTTGTTCGCAAAGCGGTGTTTCGAACGGGGGAGGACCTTTGGCTAGTTTTTAATTTGTGCGTTCTGTTTTTACCCTCCGGTGCTCAATTTGTTGGTGAAATCGCGGATTTTGAAAGGGGCCACGAGTGGAGGAGAGCCGTGTGTGATATTTTAATGGATTGCTGTTGGCGAACTTAGCGGAGATTTTAGTCTCGAGGAAGTGTAGAATTTTGGAGAATTCTGACAAAGTGGATGCTGGAAGTGATGGCGTAGGGATTCAGGTGGTTTTCCAGTGACAAAAAAGTTTACTCGAAGGAGGTTTTATGTTGGAAAAGTGTTTGGCTTGAAGGAAGAATCGATTAGCTCCGCTGGGAGGGAGTGGGAGAGCAAAGGTGTGTTATCATCGAAATTGGCTCCCGTTTTATAGGAAAGTGTGATTTACTTCCATGGCGAGTCTCTTCTGAGTGAAAAAGTTCTTGTGCAATGTGTTAGAAGTCTAATTTCATTCATCGAAAGCGAAAAAATCATGCAAATAAATTTTAATCGTTCTTTGTGAATTGGAAAAACGAAAAAAAGGAAAGACAGACGGATCTTGCTTTCCTTTATCTTTCTTCAATCATCGGGCCAAACGGGTGAATTTCGACGTTGTGCAGAGAAGAGAGCGGTGGAAAGAGAAAGAGGATTACATTTTATTCTGTGTTTTCGGTGAAGGCTCTGGGTTCGAGCGAGAAAGCGGTTGATTGAAGGCGATTTGCAGCAGCCAGCCAACATAAAGGTGAGTATTTCACCAACTCACGAAAGCATACACATGAAAACGATGAAAACATAGGGAATTATTTTCAAATGCGGCACTCATACAAGCACATTTTGCGCAATCTGACGGGACGAGGAGCTGTCACTTTCGTTCGATTGCACGCAAACAAACACTAGTGTATGGCGTTTCGAATGTTCATTTTCGTGTCTGATAGGGTTGGCAGATTTGGGTTTGTTCTGTAGCTTTTAGAATGTTTCACAAAACAGCGCCCGAAATAGGAATCAATGTGTGGATACAATCCAAGAGATACAATTAATGCTTTTATTCCTAATTTTTATTCAAACATTTAGAAATTGTTTTGTGTGTGTATTTTATTGTTTATTTATTATTATGGCTTTCAGCCGATATTTCAATCAAATCCACTAGTATTTAGCTAATAAAACCAAAAGAACACTTTTTCAAGTAAGGAGTGTTTGGGGAGTACAATTGAATAGGAATATGGTGAAAAATGAAAATTTATGCTGAACGAAATTCTGGGGGAGCCGGGTGGTCCACGCGCCAGCGGGGTTATATGACCGTGAAACTTGTTTCAAGTGCTTTCAAAGCAGCAATTTATATGAAAATTTCACCAAATGATTGATCAACTAAGCCCACCTAACTGTTGAGGATGAAAAACTCATAACCAACAATTGAAAAGGCCTCAACTTCTTGTTTTAAACAAACCTTGTAAGACCATTTTCTCGCGAATCGAAATCTAAAACACAATTGGGTAGAGGAGAATTACCCCTACTTGTTCATTTTGTTGGTTTGCGTTTGCGATAAAATTAGCTTATAAGGTTTGTTTACAAAATGGAGTTGAGGCCGTTTCAATTGTTAGTCTTGAACTATGAAATTTTGTTGGGGAAATTACTGATGGTCATATTACCCCGCTGTTGTGTTTTACTCCATTCTCCCCTACTGTGTTTAATGAATATATTGTTCATTTTTGAGAAATTTCTAGAGTAGCTACTATTATCCATAAAAAAAACTACTTTCGACTTAATTAATAATTATGTAATAATTGGTAGATAAATTATTCATATTACGAAACGCTGTTGAACATTTTGAGCGATTGTTACGCAATTCACAATTCATCACGTTTGTAATATCGACAGTGAGCATTCATAAGGGCGTAAACGCGATGATCGATTCTCTTTGTCGATTTTCTCTTTTGTTAATAACTCGCTAGAATTAACGTTTCTCGGTGCGTTTGCTGTTGCTTCTGATGGCCAATATAACCTGTTACAACTCTGCATTGAACAAATTCTAGAAAATTGTTTCGCTTAGCTGTAGCAATGCAAAAAGAAAATCGATGAAGAGAATCGATCATCTCGTATACGCCCTTATGCATGCTCACTGTCGATATATGCTCAGATTTGAAATACTCGTTCATAATGATTATGACGAGCTAAACAGGAATATACAAAGACTCGTTGCTTCTCTACTGCGTATCTAGTTTTCCCAAGGATGAAAGCACAAGGTCAGCTCCCCAACAAAGGATCTCTTTGTTTACATGTCTACGTGTGTAAGGATTCACCCGGAGCCAATAAGCACATCATGCGCTGTATTCGTTATCCCCCCAATTCTGGACACTACTGCTTTTCTTAATGCGTCCGTTTTTTTTGTCACGTTGGAGCGGCTTCATCTGGGTGGTTCAAATCACTTTTGTCTTCAAATTTTGTTTCACTTAGCTCATAAAAAACTGACACTGCTATCTGCTGGGTCCCAGCGGTGTACTATCTTCTCCAATTATTTAAATAACCTTTGCGAATCCTACTTTTTCCTCATATCAATAAAACAGGTTACCATCAATCAGAAATTGCTTATAATTTTTGATTATTGGATGATTGTGCTGAATGAATATTATTTAGAACTTAACTGAGGTTTAAACGGTATGAAGTTGCGCATTTCTTTTGACAAATCGTGGATTTCGCGGATCAAATTTTGAAAATTGCAAACCTCAATATCTAATCACGTCAAATGCATCAAAATTATCCGGAATGTCTTAGATAAATCTAGACTAACATTTGAAAAGGGCGGAACTCCAAAATTACCATATCGAGGAAATCGCTTCCGAATTTTGATGACCTAAACATTAATCCTATTTCACGACTTTCCATTTTCTGGATGATTTTATAAGCTTGACATATAGTTAATAGTGTAATCTATCATCATGCATCACTTAAAACTCAAAAAAAGTTTTCTTTGTCGTGAAATTGAGAAGAAAACATCATACGCCCTGATAATTTCTTACATGTTGTTACCCCCCAGATCTTCCATCCTTTGAACTGCCAACACTGGTGATACGCCGTGGAAGTACACCATCGGGATTTTTTGTTTGTTGTTCCGCCTTGGTTCTTCGTTCGCAAATTTTGTGAGAGTGGAATTACGCCCGGAGATTTTTTTGGTCTTCTTTTTGTTCGTTGTTTACACGTGAAATATCAACCGGATGCGTTTCAAATGAATCGGGCGTGACTAGATACTACAGAATCAATACGTTTGGCATATTAAAACAATATAATTCGTTGTTCTGATGCAAGGCGTAACAACCAGTTGCATCATCGAGTTGAAAGTTGGAAATACGCCATGTAAGAAGAAACGTTTTTTATGATATGAAGTGATATTTTCTTCTACTTTTTCGTGTTTATCGAGTAGTTTGTGAACACGCTTTTCTGATTATAACTTCCTTAGCTAGCTCAAATTTAGAATTCCGTTAAAAAATATTTGTCCCCTGCTGTTAAGAAACCTGGTGCTCGATTTAATCATTCAAAAAAAAAGGGCGTTAATTTCATGCTTTGCAAAGAGCGCACTACGACGCTGATTGTTTAGTTGAAGATCACGAGTTCATATCTTATCCTAGGCAAGTCACGAATGACTTAAAATGTGTTAATTTGAATATATAAAAATATATTTCAATGAAATCTGATTTTAGCTTTCCACCAAACGACTGCAAATTCATTAACGATAATCACTTCGCCGAAAATAGTATTAGAAAAAAATAAACTCGTTATGGTAGGAATCATACGAAAATTCTTTAAGTGCATTGGCATATTCCATCATTTTCACAACATTGTACATTTAGAGCGGTGACATGCCTAGTTTGTCAGGTAAAACGTTGGAAAAGAGCTATTGACAGCTTCGTAACTCTTCTTAATAGCTTCTTTAAATCTTTAATATCTAAAGTATTTCGATAAGAGAAAATTGATCAATGTCTTTTTCAACTTCGACTTGTTTTCATAATTCTTATTTTTTTGTACCAACAGCAAAGTTCTTTAAGTGACGTAAGAATAAGTGCCCTCGTCATTGTTCAAAGATTAAAACAGCTCTCAATTAACTACTGTGAAAGCGTTCAAATAACACTAAGTTGAGAGCCAAAGAAGAAGAATGTGCGAAAAAATCCATGCTCCATGGTAGTTATTTCAAATTTTGGTTGATACGGCATTCGCACTGAAAATATCGGAATATACTTTGTGTTTGGAATTGATAATCGATAAATTTTTTAGTCAAATGAACATCGGACATCACTAGTTGGTCTCTTTCCTGGGAGCTGTACCGAAATCCTTGGTTCGGTCTTGATGACAAAGAGCAACTTAATTCTTATACTGATGGTCTTGACCGACCTGATCCACGCCACCTAACTACCTCCACCAACTAATGAGAAAAGTTCAAAGCACAGTCACAATGTCGGACAAAGATAATGCATTATTTGGTTACTGCCATGGACGCTAGTAGTTGGCAACCTTTCGGAGCACAATTTAAATTAATGAAACCCCTAGTCCAACCTGAATTATTCCGTAATGTGCTTTAATTTTATCAACAACTCATCAGCATCAGTCCAAGGCTCTTCCCTTCTACATATACCTACCTACATATATTGCTTAGTTTCGCTTTTTTTCTGGTTTGATGATTGCGGTGCTCTGGCGGCTGGCGAAGTGAGTCTATCTGTTTTTGTTGCCGGTTGTTTGCGAGTAGACCAAGCGTAAAAATGGAAAACAATGATCGCCGCATGGCTATTAGCTTCGCAAATCCGGTAAGCAAACATTGCGCTTGTTGGAGGTGGTACGCGATAGGAGATGATGGATTTGCATGCTTGCTCGTTGGCGAGAATCGCTCGTTTGAAACTTGAGAACCAAACAGAACTCTGATTCCAAAAAACCAACCCGGATCACTCTCTAATCCGAAACTTAATTGCACCAATTAAGCCGTCTCCGCATTCAATTCCACCGAGCCATGCCATGTTCCTACAGAGTCGTTCTTACAATTGAGTCTTGCCAGCAGCTGGGGCATGATAAATTCAAAGTAATTAGCTATATTGTCACCAATTAGTTCTGTGTCACTCGGACGAAACTAGTTTGAGTTTGAATTTCAGAAAAACTGTGTAACGGTATCGTTCCAATGCCCGGTTTAGACTGTGGTCTAGATTCCCGCACTCTCATTCCAATTCGCGCTGACTGTCATCGTTCGTACGCCAATTGAAACCGAACAATTCCCATTTTGTCCACTCTCGTTCCAAGATCTCGTCCGTAACGGTTGACTACACTATGCAGAGCATATTATATACAACTGCAGCAGCAGCAGCAGCAGCAGCAGCACACTTCACTTCAATTAGCTGCCGCTCCATTGCACTTGCACTTTACTGTGTGGGTAAAGTACAGAAGTACAGTTATTATTCGCTTAGTCGGCCTGGCCCTCCGGTTTTTGCTGAATCAGCGCCGACCAACCTCGCACAGTAAATTTTATCCGTCAACGCAGCGGCTGTGGTTCACATCTCTTCAGCTTCAACGACCTTCAACGAGCGGCCCAGCTGCAGTTATGGCTACTCTTGAGAACAAGTACCGAGTAGAGCGCGCGCGTTGTGACATTTGTGTTGGTACTTGCTTCTACAAAGTGGTTCTTAATAGTGGAACTGAAAGGTTGGCATTTGCGTGGTTTTGGAAGTCAGTTGAACCTGAATTGTACTTTGTAAAAATTACAACAAACGT